AAAATTGAAACAAAAAAGAATAAATGAAGGATTTTTACCAACTTCTGTAGTCTGAACTCACTTGAACATGTAATCAACATGTGTTAATAACTAACTGGTAATTTAAAGCAAAGATTGGAAAAAAGGAATACTGGCAGGTGGAAAATGTGAATTTGAGGACAAACAGGAAAGTGGACAGTCTATGATAGAATTTTGTAAGACCAATGAGTAATTCATTGCAAATAGCTTTTTAAAAAAACATAAATGGCAGCTATATGCCTGTATCTTGCCTGATGGAATATACAGGAATAAAACGGAATAAGCTCGTGCAAAGAAACTGCATAGATGCTCAATATCAACATGCAGAACAATGTTAGAGGCTGAGGTGGAACAGATAGATCATCAGTTATTTTTATGTAAGTTCAACTTAAAGTGAATGAAAAGAAACAATTCATGAGTGGGAAAATACAACCTCGACTTGACAGCAATCAACAACAACAATAACACATAAGAAATAGAATGAGAAAATGATATATTAATATAATGAATATGTTGTTTTTGTGGTTATGTGCTGTTAAGTTGCCTGCAATCACAGCAATACTATGTACAACAGCCCTAAGCCCTGCTTTACCCTGTGCCTATCTCACTGTCTCTGACACATCTACAGTCACTACCCAAGTCACTAAATCAATCCATCTCATAGATGGTCTTCCTCTCCTGCGCTGTCCCCACATCCTCCCAAGCGTGATGTCCTTGTCCAAGGAATGGTCCCTCCTTGCAACATGTACAAAGTAAACTTAGTGATGGTCATTCTAAAATGGCTAGAGAAGATGTTAACAGGGACCTTTTAGAGATTCAACCTCGATTTAGAAGATGTATGTTGGCTGAAAGCAGAAAATAAAATAAGGCATTTATTATGTTGTTGACTATGTATCAGTATTTAATTGTGCAGACCATAGTAAGTTGTGGATAACATTAGATGAATGAGGATTCCAAAACTCTTCATTGTCCTCATTTGGAAACTCTATAGACCAAGAAGCAGAGTTGGAGGTGACTTGCAGCACCTAACAACTACAAAACAGCTAGCTGTTTCAAAAAGCCATTCTCTTTTTGTTTAGCAAAATTATTTTTCCTGGTTGTCCAGTTAAACACGATGTTTCCCAGAATCCTCTGCATCCATGCAACTACTTTCAGGCCAAGAGAATGTGTGTAGAAATGATACCTAACACTTTTTACTTTGTCTCTAAAAACAGAGAATGCCAGTAATGTCCTTGAAGAGTGGGAGCACATCCTAAGCCTGGTTTTTGTTGTTGTGTACTGAACCGAACTATAGCTGAGCCTCCAGTGGGTTTTCAGAGGCAGTTAATCTTTCTCCCAAGGAGCAGCTGGTGGCCTTGAACCATGTGCCTTAGGGATTGCAGTGCAGAAGAGCTCATGATTTGCTGCATGTTGAAATTGAGGGAAAGCTTTCTTAGTACAAGGAATAGCACATGTAAATGAACATTATGACAGGGCAATGGGAAAATAACGTGACCTAGAGAGACTAGAATGTTGAATTGGTGGGGTGAAAGCACAAAAACAGCACATTAGAGGATATTAAATAACAGAAGACACTTAACAGAAACCAGATGGAGGTGGAAAATTGTTACTTAAAAGACCATATTTTCATAATAGCATCTTTTTTTTTAAATGAAATTTGGTAATTTCAATTAAGTCAACAATTTCCTCTTCAGATTTTTACTTTCTTGAGGAAAACCCAATGCTTTCCACTTAATTCCAACATATCAAGATAGTAAATCCTAAACTGGAAGAGAATGATTATCTTGGTCTTTGGAGAGCAGTAGGTAGATTTCAGTTACTAACATTTCTATTAGCAGAACAATATGCAGCCAAAGCTAGTATATTTGCACTACAAGGATCCATCAAAATCCTTGGGAGAAAAAGTAAAGAATATGCCAGTTCTTGAGTCTATCACATACCTGTCCACCTCATTTCTTTGCATACTGCCAAGTTTTTATCTGGCCATAACCCTGGGAAGTATATTCTAAGTGGAACTTTATGTCCTTGTCCAGGAACATCCAAGCACATACTCACCTTGAATTTCCGGGTTCAGGGCCATGTAAAGAAGACCCCAGCGCAGTGTTGTAGAAGATGTCTCTGTTCCAGCCAAGAAGAGGTCCAGTGTGCTAGTAACGAGGTTTTCATCATCAAAACTTGACGAAACAGTACCTGCATACTAGAAAGAAAAATCTTCATGGATTTATTCAGAGAAGTCCTGCATCAGAGAGCTGGAGAGTGTTTAAGAATGACAGAAGAAGAATCAATGTCTTTGAGTTGTGGTGCTGGAAAAGAGTATTGAACACATTCTGCCAAGAGAACAGACCTGTGTCTTGGAGAGAGTGAAACCAAGTTTCTCCTTGGAGCCAAGGATTTTGAAGCCCTGTCTCACCTATTTTGGGCATGTGGCTAGGAGTAACTATTCCTTGGAAAAGGACACCATGCTCAGAAGAGTGGAGAGTCAGCTCAGGAGAGGAAAACCCTGGATGAAACTGATTGATACAGTCACTGGGACATTGGGGATAGGTGTGTTGGAGTCAGTGAGACTGGCTCAGGATGGAGCAGGCTTCAGAGCTGTTGTACATAGGGCCACCTCCAGGGGACTTGATGACACCTAAAAACAACAACAATTCAGAGGGTTCCTGACTGCCCTGATAGTTAAATAATCTAGAAAGAAACTCATTGTTATCTAGTCCAAACAAACTGATAGTTGACCCTCCATTAGGTTTCTGAGGTTGTATATCAAATAAGAGGAAACTGCCCAGCTTTCACCTGAGAAGCCACCAGTAGATTTGAACCACTAGAGTCATGGTTTTCAGCAATGTCAGTGCAACAACTGACAGCCTATATTACTAGAGATTCCTTTAGAAAGAAAAGTTGTAGGGGGGAAATATCACTTTCCTTTGGCTTTGACACATGCATCTGCTTTTCTTCATGCCTCTTTAATAATGCTGGAAAGTAGATTATATATTGTTGTTGTTGTTGTTAGATGCCATCAAGTTGACTATAACTCATTGATTGTTAATGTAAGAATCATAGATCTAAACCTTGCCCTATCCTGTGCCATCCTCATCATCTCTGAATTACTTGAGCCCATTGTTATATTCACCATGTCATTTGATCTCATTGTGGGTCTTCCTCTCTTTCACTAATTCTCCACCTTTCCAAGTATGATGTCCTGTTCCAAGCATTACTCCCTCCTAACAACATGATCAAAATGTATGAAGTGTAGCTTTTCCATTCTTGTCTCCAGGGTGCACCATGGTTGTAACTCTCCAATGCATAGTTGTTTCTTCTTTTGTCAGGACTCATATCCAACACCACAATTCAAAGGCATCGATTCTTCTTCTGTCAACCTGAGTCATTTTCCATCTTTCACATGCATAAAAAGTAATTTTTGTACAACCAACGATTTATTAATTTCAAATTCTGCTTTCAAAAAATCAAAACCAGCAGCTATACAGATGTATATTACCTGATGGAATACACATGTATCAAATTGACTACATATGTGGAAAAAAAAATACTGGAGAAGCTTAATAGCAGCAGTCACAATCAGACCAGGTGCTGACTGTGGAAAAAATCATAAATTACTCAGGTGCAAGTTAAAAACAATATGAAAAAAATTTTTTTAAAAGTCCACAGGAACCACAATGTGATCTTCAGTCTACCTTACCGAAGTTCAAAACCATATAAAGAATAGGCATTCAACAGTAATGATCAAAGACCAGATGAAATGTGGGATGACATCAAGAATATAATCTGGGAAGAAAGCAAAAAGTCATTGCAAAGGCAGAGGAGAAAGATAAAGCCAAACGAATGTAAGAAGAGACTGAAAATTAGAGATGTGATCTTGTTGTTGCTAAGTGCCATCGAGTCAAATGCAGCTTAGTGACCCTATGAACAACAGCTCTGAACTTTATCCTATCCTGTGTCAGTCCCATCATCTCTGACATACTTGGGTCTATTGCTGCAGTCACTGTATCAATCCGTCTTGTTAAGGGTTTTCCTCTCTTGTTGGCGTTAGCCCGATGTCTCTATCCAAGCCATAGTCCCTCCATTTGAGACCAATCTTCATCATCTTTGCCTCTAAGAAGCACTCTGGCTGAACGTTCTTCAAGACGTATCTAATTCCTCTATTGGCAGTCCACATATTTTCAATATTCTTCCCCAACACTACACCTCAGAGGCATCAATTCTTCTTCTGTCATCCTTATTTGTTTTCCAGTACTTAGAGGCACTGCAAGTGACCGAGAAGGCCATGGCCTGAATCAGGCATACTTTGGCCTTTAAAAAGATTCCATTGCTCCTCAGTACTTTAGAGAGGTCCCTGGCAGCAAGCTTACCAAATACAACATGTCTTTTAATATCTTGACTGCTGGTATTAAGGCTGTTGATTACAGATCCAAATAAGAGGAAATTGTTGACAATTTCATATTTCAACTCACATATTCAGTGCTGGACATGCTCACTATGCTGCGCCAGGAAATTTAGACGTCAACTACCTGGCCAATCAATGGGGAGAGATCCATAGTGGTTCCCATTCCCTATAAAGGTGAGCCAATCAAGTATGGACATTAATGAACAATATCACTAGCATCACGTGCAAGCATACTACTACTGAAGATCACCCAACAATGACTAAAATAGTACACTGACAGAGAATTGCCAGAAGTTCCAGAATGGTTTAGAAGAGGCTGTGGCACCAGGAACATCATTACTGATGGCAGACAGATTTTGTTGCAAATGATATAGGTAAAAGCAAAAGATCCACCCATTTCTGGAGGGTCTGCTCTCTTCTAAGTTGTATAGTCTAAAAACCAATGGAAGGTCTCCAAGAGTTAGAGTTAACTCATGAGCAGTGGGAGGTTATTACATTAAACTATGAAGTTCAAGTCAGCTTTACTTTTGTTCTGATATTGGCACTGAAGAGAAGAGAATTTAACCAGGCACCAAAACCCCCAAAATCCCTTGACAATGAGTAACTTCTGACTCAAAGTAATCATATAGGACTAATAAACTTCTCCCTTGCATTTCAAAAGCTATTGTTTTTACAGAATCAAATTATTTTTTCTTCTATGGTGGGTTCGAATCCACTTTGAGTAGCAGCTGAGTGCATTGCCATGATGCCATCAAGGCTCCCCAGTTAGCTAAAACAAACACTCCAAACACTGAAACAACGCTTCCATACTCAAGCTTTATATTTTCTTTTATGTACAATTTATTTATATGTGAGCAGAGGATAGTCAAAAGGAAGTAAGAGGACACACTTAGGTATTCTGAGTCTTAAGTAAAATATCATAAAGTTCTTGTATTTATTTCTCATCATCTCTTTCATTTGGAGTTAATGCTACCCTTAGCACTCTGATACAGTGACAGTGTTTTTACCTTTCGCAAGTTGGCAGAATAGTGACACCATTAATTCCCTTACCTTTGTCATTTCTTTTAGATAAGCATCAATGAAGTCTCTGGGTTCATCTGGATTAAAATCTTTCCTGTGATTTTCAATCATTTGAGAAACAAACATTTTTAATTTCTCAAAGTCTTTAATGACTGTTTGGTGAGATCCAGGAAGCAATTTCATGATCTCAGGGAAGATATTGAAGAGCTGATTGATTAAAAACAAAAGCAACAATTATAGGGACAATATATTGCCACACTTCCCCTTCTCAAATAACAACAGTATCTTCCTTTTCCCCCACTCTCTGTTATTTATTTACACTTATAGGAGATGTACTGGTGTAATCCATAGGACTTAAGCTCTAATGAAAGTCTCAACTCTGGCTCTTTAAATCCCACTGTGGCTTCTCAGGAGAACAGTGGGTAAGACCCATGACTATTATCAGATCACAACAGTCTATCCTATCATGGCATGGTCTGATACAAATAATATTTAGGAACTAGATGATGAAAGATTGTCCCCTGGCAACAATCAGAGGTGGAAGTAATTGAGTGGACAGTTTTAAAAGCCTGAGGTAGAGAGCTGGCTCAAAAGGAAGACACTGCAAGTTTGGATTGTCATTGTAATTCCAATAAAATTCTTCTAGGATCTCCAGTGTATTATCACCTCAGAAAGACAAACAAGCAGATAATTTTTAAAGCCTAGATGTCTAAGACTCTTAAGGTGACTAATGCTTTTGGGAAGAGTGGTCAATTGATTGGTTGTCAAAAGTAATTTCCATAAATCCTTAAGATAAGCAATTTCATTTGGCAAAGATTCTTCTCCAGATCCAACTCCTGTAACTATATAAGATTTCCAAGACCACAGAAAAGTTTATTTAGCAAATTGTTGGATATTAGAACCTCAAGAAAAACTAAGCCAGATGTTTCCTCAGAAATGTCAGAAGACTTAATTATGCTCATGCAAAACTTACACCTAGAGGCTGTTGGTGAAAAGAGCAAGAGAACATTACAAGGTTTAAAATTACGAAAAGTGTATGTCAGAGTCACATCCTCTCTCCATACCTATTCAACCTGTATGCTGAACAAATTATTCAAAAGCTGTACTCTGTGAAGAAAACAGGACTGGAGACATCAATGACATTAGGACTGGAGGAAAACTCATCAACAACCAACATTATGCAAAAGACACAATATTGCTTGCTAAAGGAATGGAGGATAAGAAATGCTCACTGCAGAAGATCAAAGACCATAGCTTTCAGCATGGATCACATATCAAGTCAAGAAACAAAATTTATCACCACTGGACTGATAGGAAATAGCAAGATAGATGGAGAAAAGATTGAAATTGTCAATCATGTCATCTTATTTGGATACACAATGAACACCCTTAGTACCAGGAAATCAGGAGATGTACTGCACTAGGGCAGTCTCGAGTTAAAGATCTCTTCAAATTATGGAGGAACAATTATATCAGTTTAAACACTAAGATGAACCTGATTAAGGCCATTATCTTTTCAATCATTTATTAAGCATCTCAGAACCAGTCAAAGACTAAAAATGACAGGAGAAAAATTGATGCGTTAGAACTACGGTGTTGGAGAAGAGTACTGAATATTACATGGACTGCCCAAAGAACAAACAGATACATCTTAGAGAAAGTGTAACCAGAGGGGTCCTTGGAAGCAAAGATGACAAAGCTTCATCTCACACGCTTTGGGCATGTTGCTATTAGAAGATATTCCCTTGAGAAGGACATCATACTCGGAAAGGTGGAGAGTCACTGAAAGAGTGGAAGACCCTGAACCTGATGGGTTGACACAGTGACTGCAGCAATGGGCTCAAGTGTGTTAGGGATAATGAGACCAGGACAGGGTTCAGATCTGTTGTTCATACAATCACTATGAGTCATACCCAATTCCATGGCAACAAATTTAATTCTTCAAATACACCACATTTTACTGATGATTTGAGTATTGTTGACAATCTGTTGTATTTCAGAGTTGTTAGGTACCGTTGAATTGAGGATGGTGCATAGCGACCCTATGAAAAAAAATGATCTGAATCTTGTTATACTCTGTGCCAGCCTCTCAATTCCTGACACACAAGAGCCCAATGCAGTCGTCACCATGTCAATCCACTTAGTTGAGAGTGTTCCTCTCCTTGGCCAATCCTTCCTAGGTCCATGTCCTTTTCTAAGGAATAACCCCTCATGGCAACATGCACAAAATATGTGAGGTGAAGCCTTATCATTCTCAGACTAGGATGACTTAAACTAGACAGGTTTCCTATAGTATCTGTGATGTCTAGCAGTTCATTGGTCTTAGGTCAAGTTTAGTCATTTGTGTATTGTTTCCAATTGTCTCTGGAAGGTGTTCAAGTTGAAAATGAGCTACATCTAGATTAATGAGCTTACATAATTCACCAATTTCAGCGGGTAGTTGTTTAATTTTGTTGTCTGGGATGCTAAACTTAATGAGTTATGACAGATTTTTTAATGTCTGTAACCATAGCCATCATGTGATTAAATGGAAGGTGAAGAGAGGTGAAAGAATCTAACCTGTCTGCCTCTGAAGAAGTTTCTTTGTTATACATCTATAGCTTCTTCAGAAATCACAGCTTTTTCAAGCTATCTGAAGGGTCAGGCAAAGTAGTAAGTTTTCACGTGGAAGTTGTATGATGAGTTTTACTAGACAGTCCACCTCTTCTAGGAGCAACTGCAACTTGTTATTGTATAAATATAATTTTGTGACCTGAATTAGCTCTTTGAGTAATAGTGACAATATGTAAAATGATCTCCTGAATAAGTTTTAACACATTTAATTCTCTGTAACATCCGTTCTTTAATTTCTGTGTTTCTGGATTTTTTTTCAAGTCGCAGATTTTGGCCATTTGATTGTGTTATCAACTGAAAAACCACCCTTGCTTGTACAGCATTGGACCTCTTCCTTCCATTTTTGGCATCTTTCCCTTTGGTCTTGGACTCTCTTTCTTTGCTCTCTTTCCCAAGAATGCTTAAGGTTTTTGTTTGGCTGTATCTTTCATTCATAATATTGTCCTTAGGGATATTTCTCTTTAGAATCTTTCTCTAAAGTACCTTTGGTAACTCAACCTTTGGCATGAACAACATAAACCCCTTTCTTTTATTTGACACTAATAGTAACTGGAATTCAAAGATAAAGAGGCAAAGACCTGCACAATTAAAAAAAAAATTGTTGGCTTGCAGAAGTAACCAGGATGACAGCAATCACCTGTAACATGTTTGCTCTAAAGACACTATGCCACTTTCTGAGAACTCATTCCAGTGGTAAAATAGTGCTGGTAAATCAACTGGAATTACTATGCATACAATCATTCAACACTACCCTACCTGAAGTCACATTTGGCACTTATGAATGGCACTCACCCTCATCTTCAGCAGTAATTTACCTGGCCTGCCACCACCAGAACTGTGCTTCTGCACCTCTCCTCCCCAACCCCCATGCCTTTTCACTTGTCTCTGAGTCAGTTTTTAGCATGTCTGTGAAAATGAACTAAGAGGAAATTTCTCTCTCAGAGCATGCCTCCAAAATTGTTGAGCCAGCCAGGAGACATAAAAAAAAACAAACAACAAAAGTAAAAAAACAAAACCAACAACCAACCCACTAAAAAATCCAACAAACCAAAATAAAAAAAACCCAGATAAAGGGAAATATGGAGGGTTGAGGAGGGGGACAGACATCGCTGGGGAAAATCCCGATTGGCCTCTAGCATTCACATCTATCTGGTTTCTTAGCTCAGTTGCTAAAGGAGTAGGAACTGGAGTGTGAATACTAAAATTGCTTCAAGGTTTGTTAAAACTCTTGCAGTGTGTAGGGGTTTGGAAGGTCAAGAAAGACTCATGAGTGCTGGTCGCTGTGGTAGTATGGGCAATTCTCTGTGAGGTTAAATCCATGACTGAAATGGAGAAAACTGAATAGATTAGGTCCCACAAATTGCAGGAAAAATTAATCACAGTCAGAAAGCTTGTCTACCACTTGCAAACATCTGGCCTAATGATGGAAGCTTTAGAGTGCCACCTAGTTAAAGCAAAGAGAAGGAGTCAACTTCACCATAAATCTCAAAGAATGTGAAGCTATTGAAATAGGTAAGATCCATACACTTTGTGGTGAGGTCAAATCCAGCAGTCCGTCACCTGCTGGGTCCTACTCCTGGTTCTACTCAAAGGCCCTCATACCCACTGGAGCTCAGGTGAGAAGGTGGGGAAAGAGAAAACAAAGAGCAAGAAATTGCTGCTGGACTCGTAGTAAGGCAGGATCATCAGCAAGGCACACTTCACTTCTTTGCCATGACCATCTACTGGATGAAGGCCAACAAAGTACTTCCCACACAATGCAACCACTCCTCAACCTTCACCTTGGTTGTGCCCAGAGGCAAGGCAAGTCTGGAGGTGTGGCCAAAGTTCTGACAGTCTTATGATAAAGGAACTATCGGGAGACAAAAAAAAATCTTTGCATTAAACTCTCTATATATTAATCTCCAAAGAACAAATGAACAGTTTTGGCATTGGCAAATATAAAGGGTAATCACACAACTTACATACAGCAATGTAAACTGTTTGCAAGAGCTTTGGATGCCACCAAAAGAAATGTCATTGTTTCCCTGTATTGATGATATAAAGTTACCCTGTGATTCTCTGTTTCTACTTGAAGAATTAACACTGCAGTTAGTGTCTTACCTACACTTTCAGGTTTGAACTATCAAGAATGCCTAATTGCAGGTCATTGGGTTGTTTGTCAGTTTTTTGGTTACTGTCTTGTTCTGTAAGACAAAAACTGTTCCTGAGGTGGTAATAGTAAAAGCTGATTCTCCTCTCTACTTAAACTAAAGAGCTGCAAACTTTCTCATCACGTTTAGGATATTGTTGTTATGTTCCATCAAGTTAAATATGACTTACAGAAAATACTATGAGCAATGGTTCTGAACCTCACCCTATCTTGACCCCACCTCACTGTTTCTGACATATCTGCCCCTCCTTGCCATTGTCACTGTGTCAATCCATCTCATCCAGGGTTGTCTTCTCCTGCACTGACCCTTTCAAGCATGATGATTTCCTGTAAGGATTGGTCTCTCCTGGCAACATGCCCAAATTATGAGACAGAGCTTAAAAATCTTTGCCATCAAGGAGAAACCTGTTTGTTCTCTTGGAAGTCCATGGTATGTTAAGTA